GGGTTGGTTTCACAACTGATAGTCTAGTAGACTCGGTTCAATTAGAGAACAAAATTCCAACATTTGTTACATTTTCAGCTGTCATGGTTCTCTTTCTTCTGCACTGCATCAAACCAAACAAACCCTTTGAGAAAATCTTCCCCTGCTCGCCTGTGGTGGCACTGCATCAAGAACCAGCTGACTCAAAAACTACCAAAGACAACATGAGCGCAACTGCCTTCTTCACAAAATATAAACAAAATGAAGTAGCGTTAGATTTTAGCAGCTGTAGGATTTCTCTCTCTTTTGTGTCGAATAAAATACCATGAGCCATTTATCTCACCATTGCTAAGCTCACAAGTTTGTTTTGGTTGTATTTACCCAGAACGGCCTGAGCTGTAGTCTGCTTCCTGCTTTTGGAGGAGTCTCCGATGTGCTTGCATATACATATACGCATTTGGATGGCACGAGAGTTCACTTCAACCAAACTGAGACTGACTTTTGTAGGCAGACCAGAGTTTATCCTCTTCCTCCAATCTGAACTCAAGTAGTGTTGTTTTTGGACCTATGTGCTCATCATGGATAGTCCATGGAGAACACCAAGTTCAAGCATAAGGGTGTCCTTATGTGCACTTGGGACCAGGACACCTTGGGCCACAGTTTGATGATTGACTTTGTTATCGTTTCCTCAGATTTGGAACCACATGTCACAAATCTGAACAGAAGTACGGAGCTGTTGGCTCCGGTGGCGGGTGAGGACCTGGCAGGCCCAAACATGTTGTGAGTGTCTGGCAGAGTCTCCTGTGAGATGGAGCTTTGACTCCTACCTCTGGGGTAACTTTGAACACATTCTGGGACCATGTGTAGACCATGTTCTGCGGCTTCATAGTCAAGGCGGCTTATCGGAGAAATGGCTGTAAGGTGCCTGTCATGGTATCAAAGCTGTTAGTGAACACCTTCGGGGAAGAATGCTGTCAGACTGAAAAAGAAGTCCTTGTCTGGCCATTTTGGCCTGCAGGATCCCAGAAGCAGCTGATGGGTACCGGCAGTCCAAGTGGCATGGGGTTGCTGAGGCAAAATCTCGGGTGTGGGAGGAGTTCAGGAGGGGAAAGTGGTACAGCACTAACACTGCTTATATTGGGAATGGTGTGCTGCTGACCTCGACTCGGGACGCTGTGAGCAGAATACTTCAAAGACTTCTTCAATCCAACCAACATGCCTTAAGGCATGGAAGCCTGCTTCAGGTTCTCCCACCTCTGGGGATAAGGTCGCTGAGTTGGTTAAAGGCCTCCTATTGGCAAGACCCCAAGGGTGGATCAGATTCGCCTAGAGTTCTTTAAGGCTTTGGATGTTTTAGGGTTGTGTTGGTTAACATGACTCTGCAATATTAAATGGACATTGGGGAAAATCCCCCTGGATTGGAAGACGGGAGTGGTGATACCCTTGTTCAAAAAGGGGGACCGGAGTGTGTGCTCCAATTATAGAGGGGTCACACTCTTTAGCCTCCCTTAAGGTCTAGTCTATTAGGTCTACAAGGTCTAGTCAAGGGTCCTGGGGCCATATGCATAAAAGAGTGTGTAGTTTTCAAATTTAGAAAATTGTGATGCACAAAATAATTTGGATGTATAAAGCCGTACGCACACACTTTGCTGTGCACCTTTGCTTTATAAATTCCCAATTTGCGAGAAATTGAGTACAGCTACTGGTCCGCCCTTTCGCCACCCGTAAATACATATGTAAATTAGTATAACTACATGAAAGTTTGCCAACACGTGAAACAATAACCATGGAAATGTCCTTGTTTTCAGCAGTATAAGTATTTATAATAATAGTTATTATTATTTATCTTATTTGAAAGGTGCTTTCAAGGCACATGAGTTCATCTCACCAAAAAAAAAACACATTTTCAAGAAAAAAATACAAATACAAAAAAAAAAAGAAAAAGAAAATAAAGAGACTGTGCAAATGCTTATTTGAACAACCGAGTGTTCAGCCAGGATTTAAAGACAGACGGTGTGTCGAGTGTCCTTTAAGTGGGAATGTGGAAGTTTATTCTAAATAGTGTGCATAAGTTGTACATTTACAGAATAGAGATGCTTCTGTCCATAAAGGCGCATTCACAAAGCGGGTGGCTTGACTCAAGGATGACTGCAGTTGCACTGGAACCATATGGCTCCTTCTTTAAGTTTTTCTCAGAGCTCCAGGATGATCAGTCCGAACAATCTAAACGATATCAAATCATCATCAACATTTTTCAGGAGATCAATATGATCTCTGAACACACCCTCTCTTTCTGAATCCTTCCATTGGCGATGTTCTCCATCAGAGCCAAAGCTCTCCTCAATTACACACCACACCTTTGCGCAGCTACTCATGTAGACTGCCAAATAAGTTACAAATTGGCTTAAAAGCAAAAAAGGTTTTACAGGTGGCCATTACAAACTTCATGAAAAACTTATAGGTAAAATTGATAAGATGTGACCTACAAACCTGACTCAAATATAACAGTTCTGTCAGAGGGAATGAGCCAAACCAGGAAACTATCTTGAGAAGCTTGTGGAAGCAAACCCTAAGAACTCAAAGCAGACATCCACCACTCATTGTGTCTTATGTGGTTAGATTATAAGAACATAGAATAAGTAACCTACATTGAAGTATCTCCTATTTAACTCATATTAAACTAAGAGATCATTGATGTCTTGGTTTATTGAACTTTCTTGGACTGGTTCAGTGTCAGACTAAAGTCAAGGGGCATTTTCATGCATTGACCTTCACCACTGACTGGACAGGCACCTCTTAGATAACCTGTGGCCAGGCTTTAATGCTCTTTAAAGCTCAGCATTGAGAGCTGCATGCAGTCTTTCATATGTGAGAATGTAAGAGTCACAGAAATATCACTGATAAAACAAATCTGGCTGTCTTGTTTGTGATTTCCACTGCTATCTGTGATATGATTTTTTTGATAAAAATTTATTGAAAATATCTTCTTTTTTTAATTTATGAAACAATGTGTTGTTTCCTGTCACTGTATTATGATTGTATTATAACCTGGATGATGGAGTCTCTGCTCATCTTGCATGTTGTGCTGGGTTGTGAGGCTACTGTACTTTTCTGCTGTAAAAACTGAGCAAATCTGAGTGGGAGGAAAGCACAGTGAGGAGAGATGAGATGATCAAAAAACAAAAAAAAAATCACTACAACTCGCCTGTAGGGAGATCCGTTGTCTTTGTGTTCGTCAAGACTGAATTTGCCTTAAAGTCTAATTGCTTCCCCTGGTGTGTGTATGTTTGTTTTTGCCACTTTTACTGTGGTGAAATGAAATATGAAAATTGTGGGTGGATTTTTGATAAGCCATCATTTAATATTCATATGCATCTTATTGGGATTTTATGCTAGAGATCAACACAAAGGAGTGCAAAAAGGATAGAAAAGTGTAATGACTAATTGTCCAAAACTCAAATCCAAAAATAAAAAAACTTAAGACTTAAAGGTGAACAAAGTAAAAGGAGAATTCAACTCAAATAGTCACTTGATGCACCGTGGGTTTCTGGCTTCCGCAGTTTGAAAAATACCAAGTTAAAAATGTAGTTCTTATTCTACATAACTAAAATTAATCAAAAATTCTAATAATAAATCAACCAAAAAAGTGAGTAAATAAAAATGTACAAAATAATCGAAATTCTAAGCATCATGGAGACATTTGAACGTTCTGCATCGTTTGCTGCTCTGCTGGATGTTATGCTGCTCCAATCACTAAGACTTAAAATATTAAGTTAATGTTTCTCGCTATAGAAGACCTTTTATCTAAACAAAATTGTTTTGTACTTGAATATTTATTATTTTTCTACTGTTGACTATTTATTGCCATAAAGTGAAGTTTTAAATGGAGAAATTAAGCCATGCAAGTCTAAGTACACACGGCCGGTACAGTGAAACTGCGAATGGCTCATTAAATCAGTTATGGTTCCTTTGATTGGAGAAGAAAGAGCTCCTACAGGAAGAATGGCTTGGATTTAGAAACAGAAATGCATTGCAGTTGAAGTTACTAGGGGTGCAACAGTAAGTCGCCCTCAATTCCTTCATTTTTGGTGATTGCAATTATCTGATACTTATATGTGAAACTGATCTTACCCATTGATCTTACCAGTGAAGGTTTGAAAAATCAACAATTGTCCTCTTTTGGTCTGCCATAAGGGAGGGTTGTCTGACAGACCCACCCATTATTACTCGGCAACTTTGCCACTATACTAAGCAGCTATTCAGACAAAATAAATCGTTATCAACCAAAATAGGAATCAGCAGGTCAAGCAGACTACAGTGCAATGCATTTTGGGTGAATATAAGCTAAACTATCTTCAGAGTCTAGTGCTACCTAGCTTATGGTCTATTAACAAAAACAAACAAAATCCTACAAGTGCTAAAACTTTTAGTTTACATTTTGAGAAGAAGATGCTTGTGGTTTTTGTGTAGCTTCTTTATAATCCTTGGTGCAAATGCACCACAAGCAAGGAGGGAAACATGTTTTCTTGACCACAGCAGCTGAAAATGTAACAACTGTTTGCAATTCAAACTGAGTCTGCCAGACTATCAGCTGTGAAAACAGCCAAAGTACATCAAATTCAATTGAGAATTCAATTCAAATTTAATTCTCCAGATATTGAAAAGTAAAAGAGACATTCTATAATAGACCTGGAGTCAAACGTGTAAGAAAAAAGTTCCAGTCAGATCACAGATATTTTTACAGGGAATTGTGCATTTCCATACAGCTGCAATAAGAGTAAAATGAGTTCATCACTTGGCCACTTTTGCGCCAAACACAAAATAATTCCGCTCATGTATTCTCATAAAGTCTGGCAAAGGGAATATTGCATAATCTGTTTTGTTCCGTGGGAGGGAAATGCAGGCAGCAAAAACTAACTCAGAGCCACGACTGTAGCGACGCCACGCATTGAAACACTGCAGCACATTTTCCATCAAAATCAGCAGAGACTGAGAAAAGCCCCAAACGATGAGCTGCTTACCTTCAGAGGAACTGCTGCGCTGTGAGCCGACTGGGGGAGCTCCAGGTCCCCACATCACCACCACGATCCATTGCTCGCTTCCTCTGCTATCCCGGGACTTGGCCCACCTCCTCAGAACTGAGACTCTGGCTGATTTACGAACAGCGAGCAAAGCAAGCAGCGGTCCGATCCACCTCACATCCCACAGTCCTTCCTTTCGGACTCGTCCTCCTCACAAACCGGCGTCCCCGCCTTCCATCCCGTCCTGCGGGCTTCGTGTCTCCTGATCCCGTTCGTGTCTCCTGATCCCGTTCGTGTCTCCTGATCCCGTTCGTGTCTCCTGATCCCGTTCGTGTCTCCTGATCCCGTTCGTGTCTCCTGCTCAGGTCCGATCAAAAGCTCTCCTCCTCCTCCGCATTCTGGTCCAGCTCAGACCCGCTGCCTGTCTCGGTTTGGTTCTGCAGCGCCAGTAAAGTGTGTCCTTCGAGGGGAAACGGAGCAATCCAGGCCGGGCAAAACGCCGACAGCGCGGAGACATGCAGCCAGGAAATCCCTCTCCTGTACTAAATCGCAGACTGCACTGCAGACAGTCTGCCACAGAGAAATATTCATATGCATGGTTAACGACGCAAAGGAAAACTATCAGCTATTACTGTGAGCTATATTAAACACGTATGAGGTATGACAGTTAGCAAAAAATCAAGAAAATAAGTTTTGGGGTTTTTTTGTTCTGAAGTTTTCCAAAAGTGCTCCTAAGTGCTTAATTAATATTTTGTCGGTAGAGAGTTTTAAGGCCACTGGAAGAAAAATAATTGCGACTTTTTTTCTCACAATGTTGAGGAAGATTTTTTTTAGTGGCCCTAATAATCCTCTTCCATACCTTTGACCAAAGAACTGCTCATAACGTCAATGTATTACACACTATTGTATAGAGTTTAAATTTGATATAACATGGGACAACATTAGTCTATCACCTGTTGAGTGATGCTATTGCTTGAGCTGTTCAAGACTCCCACTTTGACCAAAACATGGATCACCTGATTTGGTATGTCATTTAGTTTGTTCTCCACCATCTTTTTGTCTGTCCAAATTCATAAAAGTCGTGAAACATTTCAAACATTACTTCACAGATATTTTGATGCTTAACATTTTCATGAAGAGAAGCAATTCAGGTGTTTTAAAGGCATTTAAAGAAACTACAATTCATACGCAAACTTCAGACTGCAAGCTTAATAGAACCACGTTAAGCATGAAATGTTAGCAAGGTTGACAATCGAGGTTCAAGGAGTTTATGTGTCATTTCGTGCTAAAAACACAATATGGAACTAAATGAATAAAATGTGTGAAAATAGAATTAAACAGAACTTATGAGTAAAGGAAATAGATTAACTAATATAAATAGAAAAAAGTAGCAAAAACATTGACAGCAGTGGTTGTGGTTATTGTTCTGTTGCATATTTAATGTCATTGAGGAACCAGGTGGGCTGAATGTTTTATCCTTCTTTTCCGCTGTCTTTGTGTTTGCAGTAGAACCCCTCAACTTGGCATCTGAAGGTTCAGCAACCTGTGGTTCTGAAGCTATTAGTGGCTCTTTTTATCTTTCATGAGAAATAACAGAAAAAAATATGTTTTTGAGTATAGATATGATACCAAGTGAAAGTTAGCATTTTTTCCCCCTAGTTTAGTTTAGTTGAGTTTATTGCATGGTCTCATTGCAGCCAGCAAACTGTCCCGAGTCTCCTGTGTCCACCTCTGCCCTCTCAGTCAGCTTTCGCACCCGCACAGCGACCCGAACTTCACGAGCGCCCTATTTTCCTGGTCGTTCCAGTTTGCTGCGTCGCTCGCCATGACAAATCCCATTCCTCCTCTGTCGGTTCAGACTCATATGAAGGTGGCATACGCAGTGAGTACACAAACATGCGCATTAAGGAGGTTCATGTCATTTATACAAGTCGTCAGTTCAGCACACACAACAAGATAAGAGTTAGCTCTTTTCCGATAACTGAGCTCATTCTTATCGTGGTTTCTACGTGTAATTACTCCTGGAGCTAGTTGCAGTCAACACTCGTATGAAACAAGCCTTCTGCTCCCTGATGATAGTCCGACTGCTTGCAGCGGAGTCGAGCCATCGCTGCAACAAGATTTATGAGATCTAATGTTGTGTATGCAACACTAGTTCAAATAAAATAATGTCCAAGCAGATGACTGGAATAAGCACACGGCAACCTTTATTCACCAGCCGGGAACTATGCTTCTTCTCAGGCTCAAACTCCACACTCTTAACACAACGAGAGCGCCACCTACTGAGGTTCACTAATTTCTGTGTCTGGAACACCACAGCTCCTCCCCTGTAAAATCAAACCTTCTCAATCAATTAAACATTTTTCAGTTTTTTTTCCGTATGAATATAACTGAAATCAAAAAACACTTCTATTTTTTTTTTTAAAACTCTCATTTAAAGTTGCAATTTCAAGTTCAGTCTGCCAGGAGGTCGCCGGTTCCTCACTGGTCGAGTGTTCCTTTCGACTATAGATGATGACAAGTCTATGGTTTGATTCCCAACAGCTTTTCCTCCACACTTTCGGTTGTATCGAGATCATCATCGTTCCAAAAGTTTCCAGCAGAAAAGTCTGTCTGTGTAAAATGAGCTGGATTTCCATTTACACCCAGAATCTGATTTACATGTCTTTTAACATATTTTCCATTCACTTGTACAAGTGAATGCTATTGCTTGTTGTACAAGATTTCTTGTACAACTCCATTCAACCACTTCTCCCCTCCCCTGTAATTCTTTACCAAAACGGGTTGACCTACTGTGAAAACTCTTAGACGTGGGAGCATTGGTTCTGTTTTGTTTTGCATTTTCTGGGAAAACTGGGGTCTGTCTTTTTAGGAATAACTCAGCAGGAGTTTTCCCTGTAGGTGTATGGGGTGTGTTTTGGTACCCTAAAAGAAAATTTGCAACACAGTGCTCAAGTGTCATACCACGATTCTTTGCTAAGGACTTTTAAAGATTTTGGACTAAGCGTTCTGCTAATCCATTACTGGCAAGGTGGTAAGCAGGTGACTTAATGTGCTGCACTCCATTCTTTTTTAGAAATGACTCAAAATCTTGTGAAACAAACTGAGGACCATTATCTGTAACAACTTCTTTTGGTAACCCATAAGAGGCAAACAAATTTCTCAGTGTTTCAATGGTTTTAACTGAAGTCGTAGTATGCATGGGAATAATCTCTGGCCATCTAGCATAGGCATCCATAACTACCAGAAACATCTGCTTGTGGTCCTCTGCAAAGTCCAGATGGATTCTCTCCCACGGCTGGCAGCCCACTTCCAGGTATGCACTGGTGCTGTACAAGGCATACTACGCTGCTTTTGACAAATAGTACACTCATGACTTCCTGTTCAATGCACTCATCTACTGCTGGCCACCAGAATAAACTTCTGGCAAGAGATTTCATCTTTACTATTCCCCAGTGGTACTCATGTAGTTCAGAAATCAACTGATCTCTTAATTTCTTAGGAACCACCACTCACAGTAGACAATCATCTTCAACAGTGAACTCAAAACGTCTCTGAAAATATGGCTTCAGCAACTCATCCTGTAGATGTTTAGGCCAGCCAGTTAACACCAACTGTTTCACCACCTGTAACACAGGATCTTTGTCTGTTTCTTTTGCAATCTCCCTCACAGTGATAGGTAGCTCGTCAAGATAAGATACTTTGTAAATAGGGCTTGACACCACACCCACACTTGGTTTCATCGGTAACCTTGATAATGCATCTGCATGACTGTGTTGCTCAGCTCTTTTGTACTGAATCTCGTATTTGTATGCAGCTAGAATTAGAGCCCACCTTTGCAATCTAGTGGCAGCTAGTGTTGGCACACCTGTTTTTGGTCCCAAGACTTTTAGCAATGATTTGTGGTCTGTCACCAAAATACATTTTCTTCCATTAAGGTAGTCATGAAACTTCATAACACCAAACACTGAACCAAGTGCTTCTTTTTCAATTTGTGAGTAGTTTTGTTCGGTCTTATTTAGCATTCGTGATGCAAATGCAATCGATCTTTTGCTTCCATCTTTCATTTGGTGACTGATTACAGCACCAACTCCATAAGGAGATGCATCGCATGCTAAGATAATTGGTAGCTCTGCATCAAAATGTACCAAGATTTTGTCAGATTGAAGAGCCTTCTTCGCATTCTCAAAAGCATTTTGACAATTTTCTGACCAAATCCAGTCTTCATCGTTGTGTAGCAATGCTGACATTGGCTGGATCAGAGTAGATAAGTTTGGTATAAACTTCCCATAGTAGTTTAACAGAGCCAAGAATGACCTAAGTTCAGTGAAAAACAGGCAAATGTGTTTTCAGAGCAGTAGGAGATTGTAATTGAAAGCACACCTCTGTCTGTTCTCCTCGCGAGTAAGAAAGAATCTGACTTGTCTTTCCTGTGTTTGTTTAATCTGTGTTTAATAGGTGTTAAACCTGACAGGAAATGAATTTAGTATCCTAAGTGAGTTTCCCAGCTGATAATAGTGGTCTTGAGTTCGTTGATCTCAGCGCTGGAGCTGTGGAGCTGACCAACAGCCGTCTTCTCTCTTGAGTCCTACACGAGGTTTGAGGCTGGAGTTTAGTCCAAGTTGGCGCCTTAACGCTGTTCGTCGACGTCCTCGGATGTCCAGTCAAGGGATCTGGGTCACGGCACCAATTTGTCGTGGAAAAACAACTCTTTCCAAGCACTGTTCAGGTAGAACCACTCAATCAGGTCTATTCATGCATTGTGCACAATTATGAGAGCTCAAAAGACAATCAAGGCGGTCTGGATGCAAGGCTAGCCAAGCTCCCTAAGCTCTGCCAGGTAGAGACAACATGTAAGTTTTTATACAATGATTAGGAAGGAAAACTAGGGACAAGACGGTCTGGTCCTTACTCAGCTGTGGAAAACAACCTTCCAAACTTGTACAAGGAAGCCAAATCGTCCTTTTGGTGAGAGTTCACAAACATTTCATATGATTTGACTAGCAGATGTGACCTGATTGTAATGTTTCCATGACATATGCTATGTAATGGATATGCTGAAATTGTACCTGATCAATTAATGGGCAATGAGGGAAAGGTGTGGTACACACCCCACAATGGTGTTTATCACTCCCGAAAAGGCAAATTAGGAATTGTTTTTGACTGTGCTGCAACATTCAAGGGAACCTCACTGAACTGCCAGCTGCTACAAGGACCTGATCTGACTAACTCAGTTGTGGGAGTTCTTCTGCGTTTCAGACAAGAGCCAATAGCAGTTCTAACAGATTTTCAAGCTATGTTCCACCAGGTTCATGTTCCAGAGAAACACAGAGACTGTCTTCGGTCTGGTGGCCCAATGGTGACATTTCACAAGTTCCTCAAGAATATCGGACGACAGTACATCTGTTTGGAGCAGTGTCCTCGCCGAGCTGTGCAAATTATGCATTGAGAAGAACAGCAGAAGACAATGCTCAGCAGTTTTCAGCTGAAGTGGTCAAACTTCAGCTGGAGTTTGACCAC